ATATGGGGTCGCTCTAAGGCGCCGTGCACACTTCTTGTTCAGCGTGTTTGGGAGACAATGAAGCAGATATGTATTGATCGGAGGGCTATAGGATTTAGCTGAAAATATTGAACACGTATCGATTCTGGCTATACACTGGCCATACACTCGTAACCTCCTTTTCTTCCATTCTGCCAATCAATATGTATCATATCTTGGCAATTGAACCTACTAGTCTCCTTATTTTCTTATCTACAATCTTACTTTGTCTCAGTTAGGGCTTGGTGTATTAGAAAGCGTTCTCATGCAGTATAGCAGAAGCCTCAACTTGAAAAATGTAGGCTGGATGAAATTGCCTCTGAATGGAAGTTAATTCATTTGACTTAGCAGAAGGGAAATCGCCACAAAACAATTGATACCATAAGTGCAATTCATAAATCTTCCTCTGGGCTCCTTCTTTCTGTATCTTTATTGTCACAGCGTCCATGAAATAACTAGATTTGCATGGTGGACTATTTATCATGCATTGCGAAGAAAAAACTTCTCGAATGCGGCCGTAATGAATCGAGAGTTACATTTCAATTCTCGCTTCTAGACGAGGGCAACACAAAACATAAAACTAAGAAATGAAGACTGAATTAATAATGCCCGGAATCGGCTGCTGAAATCCCAAGCTTTGCGATGTTTTGTTGTAAAGGGTTAATTTCTCATTCATTATGAATAGGCTCTCAAAATTCGTTGAGGCGTCATGGCGTCAATGTGACTCTCGATTCATTACGGTTGCTTTCGAGAAGTTTTTTTTCTGAATACATGATAAATACCTCTTCGAAGCTATCTTTATATTTAATGATAACCTTATACGGAAATCCGGTCTATTACATGTGAGCTGCGACATTTTTTCGCGTCGAACCCGTTGCATGTTTGCACATGCCATAGCTGGCAAAATCACCTATATTTTCTTCGATTTAGACAGGTCATTTCGGGTCAAGTTCCATCGACTCCATTTTTCAAGTTAGATAAAAGCAACATGTGTTCCTTCTTGATTGGCTGACAAAATCGCAGGTGTTCGCCAAACTTGTCTTTTTCCTTGAATCACTTACAAAAACATTTTCAAATGGAAATCTCCTAGTGCTTGAATTCTGCTTTCAGTCCAACCCAAAGAATCAATTTTCATGATCCCTATAAACTGCGATAAATTATAGCTAGTATCAGCAACGCAACATGCGCTTCCAACTTTTAAGGTACATGGCAATTTGTGGGTGAAACTGATTTCATTCTGCGTTTTCTTCCTCTCTAGCTTTATATATGGGTCAGTGTCACATTCCAACGTGTAAGAGGTAGTCAAACTAATCAAATCTGCCCGCAGACAACGAGACAATTCGTTTAAGAGCTAGTTTACCTTAACGCCAAACCTATTTAGTGACGATATTTTGCGCTGAAAATTGTTTAAACTGTACAAGGGTCACATCTGATTTGTAAATGACCGTTGGGTTTTTTTTGACTGTGCATCGCGATCAAGTCACCCTCTACTGTTCCCATCATAGTATAATTTATTTATGTCAGTATCCTACTATATATAAGCGGCTAGCGTGTGTCTGTTGGTGTGTGTGTGTGTGTGTGTGTGTGTGTGTGTGTGTGTGTGTGTGTGTTTGAACCGGAAATTCATAGCTCGAGTCACAGTAACGATAGCGCAGTGGTTCTTACATATGTTATAGGGGGTGGGATGGGGACACAAGTGGTACGTGATAGGAACTGATAACGACTGATAATAGCTGATAAGAGGGGCTAGAAAGCGAGCATCGCCAATTTCGTTTTGCCGTTCATATTGGTAAGAGAGCGTCTATACTTACAAGTCTTATGTGGGGCGGTCCCGGAACATTGGTGGTACATGATTGGAAGCGATAGCAACTGATAATGGCTGATAAGATGCGCTAGAACGCAAAAGTCGTCGATTCCGTTGCCTGGCTCGCCTTGACACCAGAGCAACCATACTTACAAGTGTTATGTGGGGTGGGACGGGGACATTGTTGGTGGGTGCCAGAAACTGATAACGATTGATAAGGGCCGATAAGGCGCGCCAGAACGCTGAAGTCGTCGATTCCGTTGCCTGGCTCGCGTTGACACCAGAGCAACCATACTTACAAGTTATGTGGGGTGGGACGGGGACATTGTTGGTGGGTGCCAGAAACTGATAACGATTGATAAGGGCCGATAAGGCGCGCCAGAACGCTGAAGTCGTCGATTCCGTTGCCTGGCTCGCCTTGACACCAGAGCAACCATACTTACAAGTGTTATGTGGGGTGGGACGGGGACATTGTTGGTGGGTGCCAGAAACTGATAACGATTGATAAGGGCCGATAAGGCGCGCCAGAACGCTGAAGTCGTCGATTCCGTTGCCTGGCTCGCGTTGACACCAGAGCAACCATACTTACAAGTGTTATGTGGGGTGGGACGGGGACATTGTTGGTGGGTGCCAGAAACTGATAACGATTGATAAGGGCCGATAAGGCGCGCCAGAACGCAAAAGTCGTTAGTTCCGTTACGCAGCGTTGACACTAGAGCGTTCCTACTTACAAATTGTAGTAAGTCGTAGTAGTACAAACAAAGGTACGTGCACATTATTTCGATATATATCCAGCTTACTTAATAGAATTCGACTGCATAAATTTTAAAAAACAAGTCTTCAGCAAATGATAAGTTTCATTTCTGACTATTAAGAAAACCCAAACTCATTAAACCGCTAATCCTTTCGTGGTTCTAAATAATGATGAATGTAAATGAATGATAAGCATTAGCTCCTCACTTATGTAAATAGGCATATTTCGTTTTGATTTTGAGACTGACAGCAATCCTATTCACCGCTAAATTATCTTAATTCAAGAAAAATGCTGGATGTTTACAGTTGTGATCAATATACCAGTTCAGCTCAGACGTTATCACGCGTATTCTCGATGAGCTTCAGTGAAACTGTGGAGGGTCTAACACAGTCAATAGTGAGATGGTTAATGGAGTATCTCATGCTGATATTCCATGGGTCCTCCAATTTCGCTAAAGCCTGCCGTGTGATGCGCGCGATAGCGGGCGAAGCAAAACTGGTATAATAAGCTCGCAACCAAGATTGATAACAACTTTTATTTGGCTTACGTTTCGGCGCTTTCGCCTTCTTCAGAGCCTGGAAAGAGGAAAGCCATTTACGAAACTACCCGTCCAAATACTATTTCAACCTACAAGAATCGCTCAGCAGGGGTAAACTACTAGGGCGACGTCGTGGGACAGAAAAAGACAACTAACCTTTAGAAAAGTCGACCAATGAGGTCCACCTGCCACCCTGAGCTGACAGTAATGCGGCTTAAATAGGTGAAGCCCCAAGGTCACTTGCTTAAGGACCCTCCTGAGGGTTGATCATGGAGATCAAGACATTAATTATTTCAATTCCAGGTGGACATGGATGTCTCCTCTGGGGATGAAACAGATGTGGAACTGCGTCCGTCACAGGATTTACAGGCTAGGTTTGAGGAGAAAAAGCGCATTGAGGAGAAAATACAAGCCCTGATGAAAGATTTTGAACGGAAGCGTCTTGAAGAGAAGGCTCGAAAAGCAAATGAGGCTGCTGCTGCTGCTTCTTTGGAAAGTACACTGGTCAGTTAATACGGAATCATTATTTCAGTGCTGACCGTGTTGGTTCTTATGGACATCTCATAATTTATATCTCATCAACGCTTTTTTTAGTCAAACGTTGTCTCAACGACTTCTGAAGTGCCATCTGCAACAGAAGTGGGTCTTGTAAGGCATCCACACCTTTTCTCTAATGATCGTGACCTGGTTTATATCACGTTCCTTTAGAAGCCTCCTGAGCAGAATTCTATTGTTCACAGCAGTGGTCACATCGTCCGTGGTCCATCTACCCCGGCCGATTCTCCAGTGTTAACTGAAACGGGCTGTGACCTTCCTGAGAGCTCATCCTTGGCGAGTAACTTAGTCTGCATTGAATAACCTAAAGATAATGATATCCATACTGTTTAAGGAACAGCCGCGTTCTGAAGATTGCGAAAAAGAGGGCATGGGCTGTGAACTTCCATCTTCTTCAGTAGAGGTTCCACCAGTGCCAGCGTATGAGGAAATTGAAGAGTGTATCTACAGAGTAGATAATAAAAAGAAGGCTATGTCTCTCATGTAAGTTAAATCAAAAAATATTTCGAAATTTGCTGGTATAAAAAGCTAATTTTAGGTGTTTCTGCCGAGGCAACAACCTAGATTGCTCTGACAGTAGGTGCGATAACAGGGCCATGTTCACCGAGTGTCCGAGGAACTGTTTAGGGAAAGGCAAGGACTGTGGGAATAGGCGGTTTTCTAAGGTCTGTTTTTATGAAATGCATACCTTTGGGTCTTCTCGTGCAGAGCAGGTTTGGCATGGCTGCCATTCAATTTTATTTAGTCGTTAGGTACAACCACCTGGTTCCCACATTTCATTTTTCTTTCAGCAATAGTTTATTTACGGCAACTTTGATGAAGTATTATGATGTGAAAAAAGACAACTTTCTTAGTCAATAATCAAAGAGAAGATTGGCAAGTACACTCGGGCTGTCCAGCCATCTACCCAGAATTATAGTCTACTTACCGACCTCTCTACTATCATTCTTTTTATGCTTTTTCAAATAATAAACCATTTAGCGGGAATACGCGGCCGTACAAGCTTTCTATACTGGTCCCAATAAGGGATTTGGCGTTCAAGCAGTAGCTCCTATAAAAAAGTTGGTTTTTTCTTCAATGGCTCGCTGAACCTAATTATTATTATTATGAATTATTTACAGAGGTCAATTTATCATTGAATATGTTGGAGAGGTGGTTTCATCCGAGGAGTTTGCGAAACGCTTAAGAAGGTGCTGTTCAGTTATGGTTCTTGCCATCAGTATTCTTTTTTTGCATTAATTTCGTTGAGGATCAAAGGAATAAGTTTCTAGGACTCCTGAGCTTCATTGTATGTTAGAAATTTTGTCTTTTTTAAGACCTGAGGAAGTGATTCAGGTAAAGAAGGTCGTCGCTCAGAGCTTTGCAATTGCATTTCAATATAATCAAAAAAAACCAATTTGACCCTACGAAAATTTGAATGTGTTCCCAAGTAATACAGTCGATATCCGAAAGTTGGGGTAGGCGTGTCACCGGAAGTGACGTGCACTTGATAGAAGTTGCGTGGATAAGCTGTTGCCAGCATGCTTTGCTGATATCCAGCGATGTATGTTGGAAGCAGCTTATCCACATAGCTTCTATCAAGTGCACGTCACTTCCGGTGACACGCCTACCCCAACTCTCGGATATCGAGTATACATCAAGGCCATCTTCTAAACCTTGACACCAGAAGTTAAAGGCATCGTGAATGTCTGACCGTAATGGCAATCGTGTTTGACGTTAACGCATAATCCGCCCGATACCCACTTCCTATCCAGCACCCCAAGCCCCCCCCCGAATATCCCGCCCTCACAGTCCCTCAGGTCAGAGAAAGGACAAAAAAGTTTATCACACAAAATCGTGTAGGCATCATCGATTATTCTTCATTTTCTTCCTCATTTTCTATTCACAGCTCATTTATCAAGAGTTTATAGCTCAAATTGCTGCATCTATGACGAAATAAGCTCACTTTTCAGGTATGGTCGTGATCCTTCACATACTCATCATTATATGTTTGAAATCGGTTCCATGATTATTGATGCAACAAAGAAGGGCAATTGTTCCCGCTTTATGAATCACTCTTGTGAACCCAATGCTGTTTGTGAAAAAGTTAGTCATTCGACCCATGGTAGTCTGCTTGATTCGATGACAAGATTGTATAATTTGCTCGTATTGCAGTGGTATGTGCCACGTACCCCATGTGCCATTGACAGGATAGGATTTTTCGCAAAGCGTGACATTGAACTAGGCGAAGAGATTACGTTTGACTACCAGTTTGAGAACTATGGGTTGGTTAATTTGATGCTTGATATGATTTTATTTGAGCCGAGCCTCATAAAAATGTTTCAGTCGAGAAGCACAGAGGTGCTTTTGTGGTGCAGCTTCTTGCTCGGGATGGATTGGAAAGCCTCCAGAAGCGTTGGACGATGACACCATGGACGAGGAAATTGAATCCTTAGTGACGAAAGTGAAGAAAGCGGCGATGAGGACATCAAGGTGCTTTCATGTTTTCTCCAATTTACAGTGCAACATAGACCATAACTCTTAATTAGTTGCCATTTTTCAGCTGAAATGAACGAGTTGTTATTCGTCGCAAGAAAGCGCATCGTTATACCAGCCATGACAACGTGACAGTCGCAGAAGTACAAAAGAGGCTAGTCAAGGCCCTGGAATCGGGATGTCGAAACAAGACTCATGTATTAGGATGGATTAAGTTGATGGTAAGTTGTTTAACTTTCGAGACTTTCTCTAAATTCATGACATGATGTGGTGTTTTAGGCCGAAATGTCACTTATAAAGAACGAGTGTGGGATAGTGCAATCGATGTGCCGCATTGTTGAAGCTATAAGCTCAGTTGTGAGTTGAAAGTTGCCTATTTCTGATATTTTTAATTTTTGCGGCTTTGCTGTACTGAATTGCCCGTTTCCTAGGACACATCTCTACAACACATATTCGTTGCGAATGGGTTACCTAGTATAATTCAAATCTTGGCTGCGACATCGAATCCTCAATGCCTGACTCGCGAAGATCTCGAATTGAAGCACTGCATAATTCGATCATTGCTTGCAATGCAGTCTTGTGCTGAAGGAATTAACGTAAGTTCCAAGGCAAAAACTTGAAAGCTTCTGTTCTACCCCAATAAGTATGTTTCGACGCTAATTCATATTTTTGCATTGCGCATTTTCTATTCGACCATTTTTGTTGTTGAAGGACGCACTTAGAACCGTGAAGTGCAGTTCGACGCTCACTTCTGCAGTATATTTTTTCAGCCTCTTTCTGTTATGCCCTCTTATAGTTTGATGTTTGCTTCAGGCTCGCGCTCCCGATTACTAACACAATGGTTACCGATCTCGTTGTTATGCCCACTCCTGATGTTCTTTCTGTCAGAGATGCGATGGATTATATAATAAATCAACTCAGTAGTAAGGATGAATCTATTGAGATAAATGTAGGTTGTTTCCAGCGCATTTGTCGTGTCGTAGTTACAATCAGAAAATTGCTATTTTCAAGCGCTTTCACGAATCACTCGAGCTGAGATTCGAGCGTGTGAGGAATGCAGCTATTCGCCTTCAAGCAGTGCTTCAGCAGCACGTAAACTATCGAATTCCTAAAAAGGTAGAAATTTTGTTCTGTCCAACTCTTCTTTGTCCTCATCACCCCTTCTTCTAGAAAGCGAATGCGTTACCATCAGCGTCGAGTGGAGCCCAGCTGTTGGGTGATAATGACGGTGGGATGGATCCAAGGTCTAGTGTTTGCTGGAGTTCCTTTAACTCCGTTTTTCTACATTAGTGTGGATTGCAGAGTTGGTCAAGGCCGTACATTTCCTGGTCAAGATCAAGACCGTAAAGTCGGAAGTGCTGGATTTATGCTGCACCGACTAAAAGCTGGAGTTGGAAACGGAAGACCTCGACTTCGGGTGTCACGGTGGAGTGCAGGTGAGCAGAACGTGCACTGAATTTCCGTGTGGAACGCATGCACATTCTTTGTCCTCAAGCAATAATCATCAGTTTTTTCCCTCTATTTTTCTGGAGGTCTATCCCTGACCACAACTTTTTTTTTTACTTTAGTTCGCTTGTTTCTATCATCCATTCGTTTATCGACACCATTTATTAGATTATCGGCCAGTGAAAAGGATTAGAAGTGCGTCAAGAGAAGGCAATGAAGAGTGTGTGATACGATGTCGAATTGGGCCGACTATAACACAGACTACAATTGAAGCAGGCCGTCCACCTTCTATGAAACGGAATTGTCCAACCATTGATGATCCGCCAATAATCGTCACCACGGTGTTACCTAATGTAAGAGTTTTTATATAACAGCAGCATTCACAAAATAAGCCACGAAATTGGCTTCAGCTCAAGCTCAACATAATAATTATTAGGAAAATGTGAATACTCTTCTGTCATTTGGTGCTGAGTTACCGTTTTCGAGTTGGACCAGCAGCCATTGCATTGTTTATGCGTTTCAATGTTTTTAAAGTTGTATTCTGTAGCGCCACGCGAGAAAGCGCTGTGGTAAAGTCACTAAAATTCGAGTTTTAGAGACAGTTCTAATTGAGTTGTTTAGGGTGGTTTACAACTAACTGCTGGCCATCACAAATAATGCATTTTTTACAGTGGCCTCGTCCTACAGTGACAACCAATGTTCCACCGCCACCTCCTCCTCATATTCTCTCACCGGCCCCAATAGTAGTTCCTCCACCGCCACCACCACCAGCAATACCTGCAGGTTTGTCTGTACTGCATTTTTTACTGAATTATTTTTGAATGTTTTTTAAATCTGCATTCGTGTCACTCAAGTATCCAGCACCTTTCGAAATCTAATTGATTGCACATTTATAAGTGCTTTACACTATGGAAAATTGGCTAATGGGTCCGGTAAATTGCATCAGAATCAAATCTTTGGAATTGTCTACGTGTAGAGAGGAAATTGTAGGATCCTGCCTGGTGCTTTTGGTTTCTTAATTCTGTTAATGTTGTATTTCTCCCACTTCGATCATTATTCTCAGCATCAATAAAAATTGTACAGTGGGCAAAAATTATGTTGACAGCGCAGTCATGTTTACTTTTCCTGAGCCTCTTCATTTCCCTCTTTATTTCCCAGTTTTATGTGATACGATGCCTTTTTCTTATTGGAGTCAAATATCATCCAGTTCTAAAAATAAGTAAATCTATCATATTACGGAATGCCAATAAGCTTGGAGCCAGCTCAGTTGAGAAAGGCGGCGATTTGTAGATTACGGTTAAATAGGGCAAATATTAAAAACAGAAACTTGTTCTTTCTTTGGTGTCGAAATGCTCAATATTGAAAAATCGCGGTATTATCTTGAAGCAATTTGCGAAATGCGTTGCGGTTTTCATGAGGGAGAAGCACCTTTTTCATCCAGTGTACCCACAATCACATTAGTAGACGCATTTGTATTACAAGTAATCGTGCTTCGTTGAATCGTTAACAATATGGTGATACATATACGTCCTACTTTGTTCTATTTGTGTGAAATCCAGTCTGAATTTTTCTAGAAGTTCAAAAGAAAATCTCCTGCACCTTACCACTGTGCGAGAGCTTTTTGTTTTTTCGCCATTATTTCTTTTAGTGGGCTTTCTGTTTTCTGTTTAGCATCTTGCTTTTCCAGTTTATCCGCCTGCTGTTCCTTACTATGATTACGGCCCATATCCTGCTATACCTGTGCCAAACGTGCCAAACTACCAACCTTCATATGATTACTCTCGGCTCCAAACGGACGAGTTTACTCTGAAGACTATCGAAATTACTATCAGAGCTGTGACGTATCGCAGCTGCAGTGAGTTCATTTTGCCATGTTTTTTTTTTTTAAGTTTGTGGCTCCAGCAGGAGCTGCTCTTCGTCGCTCATCGTAGTAAAACATGGTATTCATCAGTGGGTTTACAGGTCTCGTCTGCAGAGCCTTATGAAGGAGATCTCGATTGTACAGTCGGTATTGGACCAAAAGACGACAGAGGTGTGGTTCATAATCTGATGAAAGCTTGTTTTTTGGCTTGACTCCACAAGTAGATCCTTATGCTCCAAAGACGCCATTCTCGAATTGCTGATTTTTCGAATACCACTCACGCTGTTGAGGATGGCGCGATCTATGAGAATTGACCAATTAGTGAAGAAGGAAGGAAAAATTCATTCGCTCTCAAGACCACACTTTGAACACTCGTTTGCTTCAAAACACATATATGAATTAAAAATATGCACTTTCTAGGGCATGTTCTGATGGGAAGGCGAAAAAAATTGAAAAGGATTTTCTCCCGTAGTTTAGGAGGATAGGATACGGTCCTAGATGAAGGTTCGCTTTACGCTCTCCCTAACGATCTGCGTTTCGCTTGATCTACAGTCAACAGTAAAAAACGGAGTCGGTATTGTTATCGAAATACCCCATAGCGCCCCCAGAAATGACTATGAATGTACGAATCAAATTCGAGCTTGAATTTCGAGTACGGTTATTGGTTATGTCGATCTGCGACATCAATTCTCAAATACCGAGTTTTGTTCATGTGATAACTGTTGTTCTTTACAGAAATCTATCCAAAAAGAAGTGCAATCTCCAATCGCCCCACCTACACCACTTCCACCAACTCCCAAAACTCCTCCTCCCCCTCCTCATAAAGAATACATGTGGAGGAAAGCTGTGGACGAGGATGGAGCCAAATACTATTATCATAAGGTACGTCATTTCGGTATATTTCATTCGATACTGTAGTTCGCTATTCATTTGATACTGTAGTTTTTCACTAGTCGTTTACAAATTGTTACGGTGTTTTACGCTGAAAAAAAGCTTTTATGCAAAAGAATACTTCTACGATAGCTCGTAGTACGAAATTCGAGAAAATTCCGGGGAAAGTATCGTTCAGTGGAGGGACTCATATCTTGTCAAAGTGGAGTTGCGGGAAGGCCCTCACATCTTATTGAACATATTTCTACTTTTACTGAGACGGTTTCCTACAATCGTTACGTCACACTGGTTACCCTTACCGTATTGTTCTACAGCGAAAAAGGCTGCTACCTTGCTGACTTTTCGCGCTTTCACTATGTTTACTAGGTGGCGGGAGGGCTAACGATAAGTCGTAATGAGGTTTTTGACAACCGCTTGGCCGGTCTAGGTATCCCTAACTGATCGTCCAATCGGAGCCTGTGCTCTGAATGTTATTAATAGATATGAGTACCCTACCGCAACCCCACTTTGATTAAATATTGTCACTTTGATTAGATAAATGATTGCCTCCCCCCACCGAATTCATTCTTACATTCTTCCATTACCTTCAGAAGTTTGCTTGAAATTCAAATGACTTGTTAGTTTTCCCTCTTGATCTTTTTGATCTGGCAAAATTTTTCAGGAAACGCGTGAATCAGTTTGGGAGCTTCCTGATGGAGAGGAGAGTGATCCAGGTGAACGTACTCCTACTCGTATGCCAGACACGTCTGGATGTGGGAACGATCCAGAGTCCGATAATTTGGAGCAGGTGAATAATGCGATTTTTTTACAGATCTTTTTGTTATTTTAACGTGATAATCTTGTTCCAGAGTAAACATCATGATGGCCTTCTTTCGCGCTGGTCAGCAATATGCTCTCCCCAAGTGTCCACTTCCAACATTGCGCAAAGTGCAACACCTGTTTCGGTCCAAGCAAACCACACCGTTAATGGGATTACGAAGACCAACGAAAGGAAACGCGATCGCGATCGTCGTGTTTGGGAGAAATTCGGGAGCGACGCTGATCGAAAACGAGCTAAGGTGCACTTTCAATTTCACATCAAATCAACCTCACTCGTTTTTGCTCTCGCTCTTCCTCTCACTACTATTCATATTGACATTTATTGCTAGTTCACAATTTCCATTGGATCTTGGCTTAACACATTCACGCCGGCGGCAGCCCATATGGCGCTGCCAACAATTGTGCTCCTGGGACGATGGCAGCCCATATGGGCTGCCAGCTGATAGCTTGCAGGCGCTAGGAATGGACAGATAGGTGGGTAAATCTCGTAATCGAGTTTAAAATGCTTTTAAATTCCTTCACGGGGAAAGTGAATGAATGCTCTCTTTTCGTTACTTTTTTCTTTCTTCTTTCTTCTTCTCTTTTTCTTTTTTTCTTTCGTTTTTCGGAAAAGGGGCGCCGTTCGTGAATGTTAGGTTGGCAAGAAAGTCCTGCGACACTCTTTCTCAAATTTTCTTTTTTTCTGAAGATCCGTAGGTAACATTTATGACTAACAAATGGTAGAGCATTGTCGAGGCTTTAATACCACGAGGTGGATGTAAGTGCTGCAGTAAGTAGTTATCCGAAGAAAATTCGAAAAACCTCGACCACTAGTAAATCCACACTCCGAGTCACTGTCTAGTACAAATGTCTACATAACTATGGATCCGTGTCAAAGACCAACACTATCTGCAATCGCTTCAAAAGGCATGTCGTGTACCGCTACAGCGTGTTTCAGCTTTACCAGCGCTTCCGATCTTTTGATATTTTTATAAGAAGCCAGCAGCGTCCCTCTCACTCCATTACAGGTAGGGCTCTTACAGAAGCTCCACTATATATTCTTCGTTATGGGCACCATTGTGTAGGTAGAGGCCTAGGCTGCGGAATACCAGAGTGGCGATGGCGTCATCAAGAGCCCTCGAACCGCGACAATATTCATTTCTTTCATGATATTGCGAATCACCATGATCCGAAATAAGCCCGGTAAGAAATTCTGGAGTTGCGGCGGAATTTCTTACCTCCTTTAGCGTATTCCCCTGGTCGAGCTGTATGACGTATACCTATCCTGGACTTATCCCATCTTGTTGAACGATATATTAGCGTAACTCCACTCGAGTGGGCGTTGCTCTCTCTTTGCCCGCACTCCGCTGGGTTTTGGAAAAGGCGCATCAGGAAATTTTCTGAGCGTTGAAGACAAGTGGTGTACACTCATGATAGATATATTGCCGTTCAGGAGTTGTAAACAAAAAAGATATAATTAAAATTAAAAAATTGAAAAAGTGTCGTAGACTTTCTTGCAACTGATTATTAATTCAGCTGGTGGTAACAAAACCGACTTGATTTTATGCTATCTAGTTCAATTTTAAATCAGAAGGAATGGAACATCCTTTTGCATGTCGGATCCACCTTGAACCTAGTTTTCTTCTAGAAACTGATGAGCGAAATTGAAAAGGTGGTCGGGCCTATTATTGTGCGTCATATTGGGCACAGAGAAGATGCAACGAAAAAGAGGAAAGATTGGATTATCAAACAGGTCCGTTTCCACCGCGTTTAGCCAGGTTTTACGTAATTTCACTATTACTCTTTTTTAGGTTAGTAAAGAGATGTTAAAGAGGGAGTCAGAGCGGGTCGATTTCAATTTCACACTCACGGAAAAAGGAGCAAAGCGGGTGAGTAGTGTTTGCTTTTTCGAAGTTGAAGCCATCCACGTTCTTTTCACGTACTTTTTTCATGTACTAGAGGTCGGTTAATATATTTGCAGTGGGTGGGTATAAATGGTTTCTTGGCGAGTTTGAGACAACTTGAGTTTTGTTAAGGTCACTGATTATGCTGACGCGTTCATACAACGCAAATGTGCCAAAGAACCGAAGGATCTTTGGAAAGGATACGATGGTTCACCATAGCTCTTAAATCACAATCAATTATCAGATTCTGCACTGCCACACCAAAGAGGGTCCATCTCTTTGCTTCCAAATTTTCCTGAAATACAGGTCATCAATCACGACATCTTTCATAGTGTACTTCACGTCGATTTGTAGGTTGAACATTGTTGCTAATATTTGTATATTTCCGGTGATTTTTCATGATGTTATGGCGTTTAATACATACGCCTCGTTTAGCTCTTTTATTCCATGTTGATTAGTCTGAGTATTTTTATAGGTGCTTCAATTCCAAGAGATGGTTTATAGCAATTTTGAAACTTCTCTTTGGTTCATAATTCACGATCATCACGTAATGTTCGTGAAATTTAGGCGTGTACTGAGCCCCTGTAAGAAGCATAGATCCTGTCCTCGGTTGTTTCTTCAGAGTTTATGTCCTAGGTTTTCACTAGTATTAGCAGTATCACTGACCATAATTTCAGAAGGGGAGTCTTTCTATTGAGAACCGATCCGCAAGGTCTTCGAAAAGGTCAAACTGCCGCTAGGTTATCGTTCGAAGAGCCAAATAACTGTTTTAGGTATAATTATTGATGATAAGCTCCCGTTTCCTTTTTAAGATTGCGCTTCAAAAGTATCGGAACGGAACAAACATGAAGGCCATCTCTAAACCGTGTATTTACCATTCCAGCTGTATTGTTAATTGCTTAAGCGCATATCACTAAGTATGTGTGGGGGTTGTCCTTTCTTCCAGACAGGCTATCTCTGTATAATTTTTGTGTGTTATGAAGTCGCTCTTTCTCGATCTCGATGTCGAGATTTATCTTTCTGTACTGTAAATGTTTCACATACGCATTCAATGGCTACGGTTGTCAGTATTTGATTTTATCGCTTTCTAAGACTGCCGTGAAATTCCTTTATTAGGAAGAAGTAACTGTGTAAGCTCCAAGAGAATAAGACTACTGATTGAGGAGTTTCCGTATTGATTTGCTTGACTTCGACGATGCTTTTGTTGGGTGATCTGCCCTAGTCATTGATGTCGATCGCTGCGTGGTTTGATCACATTTTGTCTGTGTATTGTTCATTTTCATTCATGTCTTCTCATGTGTAGTACAAACTACAGGTAAAATATACTTTAGCAAATGTGTACTATGTTTTTGGTTTCGACCGACAATTATTGCAATGCCACACTGGCTTGACGTGACTGGGCAGGGACAAGCATGACTTACGTCCTCCACCCCTACCCTCACATGAGACTCGGTCAGACTCGGCTGATTGTTGGTCGTCTTTGGACACGCGACGGAGCCGCCCGGCACAAGAGTGGCAGCAGCGGCGCGATGACTCATCAGCACACGATCGATATCGGTTGGCAGGGGGAGATTAATCATCCTCACCCATCGTTCATACGTTCATGTTGCTCCCCCTGCCAACCGATATCGATCGTGTGCTGATGAGTCATCGCCCGTTGCTGCCACTCTTGTGCCGGGCGCAGCTCGTCGCCGGCACGTTGAGGCGGCTTAAGCCGTTTAGACACGGTGAGCACTTGAATGTGGCGTCAATTATGATACTTTGGCCGCAGTCACGTACAGTGTGAGAGCGAACGTAATCAACGACGCTACTTTGCTGTGCAAGGACGCTACCCTGCCATCCTGGGCAGCGATCCAAAAATAGAGCGACGCCGCAGCGTTCGCCGTCCCGCTGGTGCGGGACGACCTGGAGCGCCGCGCCACGTCGCAGCATTCGCCTCGCCGCTCGCGCGGCGAGGCTAAACGCTGCGCGCGCTTCGCGCGCGAGCAAGGGGAGGTGATCCCCGGGGTGCCGCCTCATCCACTGTGAGGCGGCAGTTGGTCGTGGGGCAATCAACCACCTTCTACATAAACGGCGCTTAGTACTCTGCGCGGGCCTGCTCGACACATTCTCTCTCCGTTGAGAGGGCGCAAAGAAAACGATAAAGGGGATGCGAGCACACGCTTTAAGCGCGTCAATACGTCGCGCATTGTACGTGACTACAGCAGGAACATCATAATGCACGCTCATTCAGGTGCTCACCGTGTCCAAACGGCTTAAGTCATTCGGTCGCCTGTATCAAGCGACGAATCGCCGCTCTGACGAGTCTGAGCTGAAGTCAATACACTACTATTCTATGCGGAGGACGTAATCCAATATAATCGACTCCTGTCCGGATTCTGCATCACTTGCTTGATACATTCGAGCTGCCAAACCAAGTCGTGTGTGCTAATAGTATCGCTCTAAAAACATGGATGCTGACCAAATTCCAGACTTACCTTGCTGGACATGCATTATCCTTCAAGCAAGCCTAAAGCAGCTTCGGGATAAAATAGTGCGGAAGAGCGTTCACTTAATAAAGCTAGAGGGGGCTAATGATCTGGAGAAAAGAAACAGAAAGCTAAGAGAACCCTCGATTAACACGCCGATAAACCAGTGGGAAAACCATTTCAGCCGCAATCAACCTGGGATAGAGAAAAGCGTGTTGGATAAGTTTCACGGAACGCTAAGGCTTCACCTGTTTCAGAGCCAATGGCATTGAACCGCAAGACAACCACGCTTTTCAAGCAGCGTCACATGGCAACAGCCAGCGGAAAGCGGGTCTTGCGGAAGAATGGATGCGATTGAGCGAGCTTCTAGGCTTTGTCGGTAACTTTCAGACGCAAAGGGTCGTGACATCGCTTGCCGCCTGTCTACTACCGATCGGGCTATGAAACGGAGGAGCGTGCTAGTACTAGGTACTTTGACTGGTGCGAGCAACTGGTTGATTTTGTACCCGGCTTCTACCGTTCACTAAGAGTTATTTGGGGACACATAACGGTGACTCTGCTGTCAGCAAGCTGGATTGATCGGCCGAAAAAAATGCAAAAAAGGCGTTCCAAGTTTACACGATCGCTTCCCTGCAGTATAATGTTCGTGCCACGCAGCGCAAGAATAATCTTGAGCAAAGCGATTTCGCCTCGATGCGAATCAGTCTTACTCACGTACAGCCCCTTAAACATTGCTCCAAGCAGAGTATCACTTTAACCTTCGATAATCGAATCGCGGCGCCCATGTCCTTACCATAAGGGGGACATTGACATCCGAAATGGTTAACGAAACTCACTAACGAGGGGAGGTCGTTCAGGGCGTGGAGCGCTTTTTGAAAACGGTTTTTGCATGAAATAGGGGCAGGTGCAGTGAACACAGATCTATGGTCCATTTCCGCTAAATGGCCTTCTGAATGCCAAAAAAGGAGTGAAAATCATTTTGTTGGAAACTGCAGTTTTTACTTGTTAAACGTGGTGTGTTTCATTCATGGCGTCAACTATAGGCATAGTAAAAGGTCGTAGTGAACTGTGCATCGAAAATAACGTGAGGTTTAGCCAAAAATGGATCCTTGTCATGCTACATGCTACGGAGTGTGCGGGAGATTCATAACAGCTATCTGCAGCTTGGATGTCGGCAGCGACGGATGGCTTAGCGGATAGTGCTGTGGACTGGAGTTGGCACGAGTGGACTGGGTTGGTGGTTCGGATCCTCCGCGCGCGAAATTTTTGCATTTTATGCTGGCACCTCCATCTTGGCTCCAAACTGCACCAGTGCCAAAATGAGTGTCTGACTGGTCATTGTCGTGACCAGGAGCAGCAATGACCCCGTGCGCTAGGTTTTCACTGAAAACTGGCTAGAAAATTGTATCTCTAGAATGAGAATAAATGACACCAGCAACTATTCGTATTTGTGATCAGCGTGGACAACCCTCGCAGAGCAGACCACGGGATCATTTAGGATTTGCTCGATGTGTAAAATTTTCCATTTATTGCAAACAGATTATTAACACGTGTGGTACAACTCTATAAAGCAAGTGAAACATAGCTGTTTGCCGCACCAGCTGCACTTGACGAATGCCAAGGAAGTTCATGGAAGCTAAAGAACGTGTTCCCTTGTCAGCCTCGCGGTAGTGAGCTAGTAGTTCGATCTGCGAAATACACGATTGCACCTTGAGCTTTCGTTACAAAGTGCTACAACTAACAGCATCGTGAGGAATGGGCCTGCCGTCGAAGAAAACAGTCCTCCGTGAAATAGTAACGCTGCTACGGTCATCGTCATCATCTGTGGAGTCCAGCAGCGTCTTCTCTTTCATCGAAAGTTGCCTGTAAACTGCAGCACTTCAGAAGCTCGGACCTGTTTGTTAACAGTGCGACGGCTCATAAACTCCTATAAAAGTAACCTGAAGCGTCTCTTCTTCCTCGTCGTAGTCTGCGCCCTTAAGTATTCCTCTGAAGGCGTCGGCAATTGCGATTTCTTTTCTTGTAGGAGAGAAAAATCGGGCGTGAACGACGATAGAACGCGGCCAATAACTCTAGCAGGTGAGAAAGCCATGTCGAGATCAGAAATGGTACACACCACATATTCTTCAGATGTGACTGTAGGTTGCGGTACATCATCACTCGCACAAGCATGTACGAGCGTGAGTATTTCCGTCGACGACCATCCCGGAGCTTCCGGTAGCTGCTCTTCCTTGGCATTCGTCAAGTGCAGCTGGTGCGGCAAACAGCTATGTTTCACTTGCTTTATAGAGTTGTACCACACGTGTTAATAATCTGTTTGCAATAAATGGAAAATTTTACACATCGAGCAAATCCTAAATGATCCCGTGGTCTGCTCTGCGAGGGTTGTCCACGCTGATCACAAATACGAATAGTTGCTGGTGTCATTTATTCTCATTCTAGAGATACAATTTTCTAGCCAGTTTTCAGTGAAAACCTAGCGCACGGGGTCATTGCTGCTCCTGGTCACGACAATGACCAGTCAGACACTCATTTTGGCACTGGTGCAGTTTGGAGCCAAGATGGAGGTGCCAGCATAAAATGCAAAAAATTTCGCGCGCGGAGGATCCGAACCACCAACCCAGTCCACTCGTGCCAACTCCAGTCCACAGCACTATCCGCTAAGCCATCCGTCGCTGCCGACATCCAAGCTGCAGATAGCTGTTATGAATCTCCCGCACACTCCGTAGCATGTAGCATGACAAGGATCCA